AACCCATTGACCGTTGTTGAAAGCAGACTGTCCACGAGCAGAGCGCAACAGCAGCCAATAACTCAGCAAAGGAAGCATCAGGCAACACTGCCGGGGCAACACAACTGCACAACGCTGGACCATCTTTCCAGCAGGTGATGCTCCTCACCAATAGATGGAGCCTCTCTCTCTCTGTCAAAAAAAAAAAAAAAAAAAAAAAAAAAAAAAAAGACTAACTGCATGAATGACAGCGCAAGCGGACGAGCAGCACGCCAACGGCGCAGCAAAGCACGAGGCGCAACACACAAAAAAGCAACTAAACTACACGGCACAGAAGCAAAGAACACGGAACGCGCGAGGCATGCCGGGGATGGGCAGAGCACGGCAGTGGCGCAGCGAAGCACAAGGCAACTCTAACAACACAGCCACACCTCACAGTGAACACAGCAGCTGCAAAGAATGATCTGTGAAGCAAGGGGGACGGGCAGCAAGGAAGCAGCGGAGCACAGACAAGCCAGTCAGCACATCCAACATGAAGCAAAGCGGCACATCACCTACTCGCGTCACGAGTAAACCCTGCAGACACTGTTGGTTCCCAGCACTTGCTGAGCCAGGGAGTCACTGTGGCGGTCACCTATATACCATATGCAGACATCACGAACAGAGTGACCCTCGTAATAGTTTGACGGGCACACCAAACACCCAACCACTGACTGTTTAGCACTTCACAAAGGCGCTCACACACACGCACAAAAGGAAAAAAACAGGGAAAACAGACTGACAAAATACAAGGAGAAAGACATACACAGAACTGATTGTGTGTGGTGTGTGCATTTGTGTGTTTTGGATTTGAGTGTATTGCGTCCATCATGTTTTGTCTGTTCGGGTGCTGACATTGGGCGACTTGGGGTGAGGCCGTACTGGTGCCGTGCTTGTGGTAGAACCTGGTCAGAAAGCAGGACAGGTTCGTGGCTTTTGACACAAATTACAGCACAAAATGGACCTGTAGCAGTGGCATATGGGGAAATTCAATGCATATAAGCCAAACTCCTGAAGTGCTCGGATTCCAGGCCAGATGCCCAGGATGCCCAGATTGCCCAGCCGGGCGAGATCCTGGCCAATAATTTGCAAAATGCCTGTGAAAGTTCATGTATATGCTAAAAAAAAATAGTCCTGAAAGATGTGGGTAGAGGAATATCCCTCCGAATTTCCACAAGTTTTTGGAACGCCCTTTTGGATTAATTTTTTTCTTAATGTTTGCGTTCTACGCCTGTAAGGGGGTTGCCCAAGTTTGCGTTCTGCCCTTAACAGGGTTATGACACGAACTTGCCAAACCCCTGAAAGCCTGGTGACAGGGGTATAATGCAAAACCTTAAACCACCAGTATACTTGGCCCCACTCTTCTCCCTCCCTGCCTACGGTTTACCGGGCATCTCTGTTTGACTATATATATAACCAAACCAGCCTGAGATCCCCGCCAATCTCTGTGGTCTGACTGCAACTAATAGCTGCCTTCACATTTTCAATCGGCCGTTGTATACACCATCAGATTTCCTTGCAATCGCCCTACTGCTTGATGTTGATCTCGCTAATATCGCTGATCCCCCCGACCTACAGCCAGAGCATCGTAATTACACCAGGGAAGGAGGTTTTACCATTGCTGTCCTAGAAATAGCGATGACGAACCGCCAGCTTGAACTTCGCCATGCTCTACCAGGCGAGTTGTTTAATCCTCCATCCCACATCTCTGCCTGCATTGTGCACGCGCCTGGCCATTACATGGCTATTGTACACGCCTCTGACCATTGGAACGACGGTGTCATGGTCCATGCCATGATTGATATTACTGATTTCTTACTCTATGGTGCTGTTCTCTTGCCACATCAAACTGTCCGCAATCTCCTTTATGTCGAAGATCATCCCTCTGCCACCACAGTGCAGCGGTACAATGTACACACACTATGTGACCTTCTCCTTTGTACAGCCACAGACACTGTTGCACTTGGGTGTACTCGCCATCATCTTTGTCACAATCACTACCATGAGATAGTTTCTGCATCCATGTGTGTACAGGATTGTCCCTCCGTTCCTGACTGCAGGCACCCTCCTCATCCCGACACCATATGTCCATTTTGTGGCCACGGACGCTATGCTGAATGCATGCTCTTTTGTGGGGGACGTTCTTCCTTTATTCTGGCCTGCAGTAGACATGCTGTTTGTGAGGAATGTATGGTTGGCATGCTTAATGCCAGCCGTCGTGGCAGTTGTTGTTTTGAGAATGCTCAGTTAGGTCTTCCATGCGCTCATCCACCCCATCCTTACAATGTGTGTCCTTTCTGTCGTCAAGGACAGCCTCATT